CCTTAGCTATACTTTCTTTGGCATTCTCCATTGTGTTTCAGTATGGCAGGTTATAAATATTCCAGTAGACTTTTTCTTACTCTAACAATCTTACTTTAAGAATCACCAAGGACCCCACACAACTATATGTATATTTCATACTATATTGTACAATCATCAATTGTCATTAAGTGGGCTGTTACAAACTCATCAGAATCATCCATATTCATCTTAGTTTAAACAAACATGGTCATAGATATATAAAACATAAGTGGTCCAGTAGTTTATGTATAAAATGTGCAGTAAAATGTTTGTCTTATATAAATAAACAAAACAACAACAACAACAACAAATCCATGCATGGCTGGAAAGTTCAGTTCTACATAAAGACTCTTTATTCAGAAATTGAGTCACTCAACAGAAGGCTCAAAGATATAATTTTCCTGCAGGAACATAGTATATCAGTTACCTGCAAAAGGAGAGTTTATACTCTTTTCCTTAGCTTTCAAAATAGGGATGGAAGATCAGATCAGAAACCTATCTGGGGTAGACACAAAAATCCTCAGTTTTTAAGAGATGAGAAAAAATTCCATCCATTTCTACCTATGGAATGACTAAATTGGACTTCTGTGGATAGATTCTATTTATTTTCCATGGCTCCTATATTTTTAAAACATAACTTTAAAAATATGACATACAATCTCTGAACCATCCTGCCTTTAGATCCAAAACTATTTGTTAATTTTTAAAAGGTTCTAGATCCACTATGAAGTTCATAGTTAAAGCAATTTTAAAACAAGGTTTTCTCCTATCCCCTATTTATCTTGGTTAAAGGAACATGTTTAAAACATACACCATTACAACATTCTCTTTTATGGAGAGAATGTATCTACATTATATAAAACATAGAAAGGGAATAAAGAATGGTAGGGAAAAAAATTAAGGCCAAAGCTTTAAAAATGGCAGTGAAAAATAATTAAACCTAGTTTATACTAGAAAATTAGATTAGTATAATGATTAAGGAATCAGGCTATAAACCAGGAGAGTGTTGTAGTTCCAACTCAGGCACAAAGCCAGCTAGGTCACCTTGAATCAGATGTTTTCATCAGCCCTAGAAAGCAAGCAATGGCAAATCACTTTCAAAAAGCTTGCCAAGAAATCTGCAGGGGCTTGTTCAGACAGTCTTTAAGAATCAGACATGACTGAGCAGAAGAAAGGAAAAAATTATACTAATACCTTTATCTCTCCATACTTTTTTATCATGTAAGATAATCTTATATTCAGCATATTCATAGCCCACTTCATGCAATGCCTTTTGCATTTTTTAAATTAGGGGTTTATTAAAAAATTAAATCCAGACTGATTTACTGTTTCTGATTATTCAGAAGCAAGTTGCAATAACTCAATTGGGTTAACAAGGTATTGGATGGTAGCCTTAATTGTTCTTAGTTCCCCTAAGGCAATAGTAAAATTTAGTTCCACTAAATTCAGTAAAAAATCAGGATGCAATCATGAATATAACATCTGGCATTTTTTAAAACTAGAACTTCCTGTCACTATCATTTTGCAAAACAAAATTATTACTACTGCAATTTTTGGACATGGACAGCATGGGAGTCAATGGCATCTATTTTACCATAAGAAATTAATGGAATCTAAATTCAGACTATTTGCAATTCTCAGTAACAGAAGAGTAAACAAATAGGCCTTCAGTATTACACTCCCTTCTGTGCTTTGATGAAAGTTATTCCTGTATATGTATCACACATATGGCACGCTGGGTGAAGCACAGCAGCCATCACTGGTACTTCATCTATTAGCAAAGAGTCACAGTTGTGTTTCCCAGAAGCATTTTGAAAAGGTGTTTCATTTGCAGCTTCACATAAGTAAACTCCAAAAATTCATATAGCCTGAATACCCAATAGCTCAAAAACATATGCTTAAAATATGGCAGGCTTCATATGAAAAATGTCCTTGCTTGTTTGATCATATTGCAACAGCTGTATAACTACTGTTTGCTCTTTAAGATGGAATTCTAAGATACATCAATTTGAGTTTCAATGTAATCTTTTGGCTAGCTACTGAACTGTTAAGCCCATAATCAGATTGCCTCGGTGAAATATATGCCACCTCAATGTCAAGTAACAAAGACCCTCTATTTAAAACAATCCTTTGTCTGATTAAGTTACTTTGGTAAGTTAAATGTACATAACTAAATCTACAGCAAGCAGGTTCAAAAATTGATCTAGAAAGCAAGCACACAGCAAAATGGCACACAGAAAGACGCATGTAAGGATTGTTACAGGTAAGATTTTCATGCTCTGATGCCACCAGGGACAGAAAGGATCTTTATTAAAATGGAGAAGTTAAACTGTGTTTGTTATATGTACCGTATATGTTATATGTATTATACCAAGTTCAATACCAGTTCAGCATGAATTTCATAATGCATCATTCATCTGTGTCCCTTTGCCCTAACTCATTAATGGTACATATTTGTTTCAATTTGCAAATTATAAAAAAAAAGATTATGATGATTTTGGCAAAATAAAATCTTCACTAGACTGAATTTGTTGTGCTGCAAAGAGCATGAGGAGTATGACTGTGGCAGCTGTTTCCACCACTGAGAAAGCTTAAAGCCTACCAGACTTTAGAAATGAAGAAAGGGAGCTGCTAAAGAGGAAAAGAATTCATAACTTTCTCCAAGACTTCCTCAAACTATAAACAATCCAGTTTCCTTTCCAAAATATTCTCCCTCTCAGTGCCTGAATATCCCCATTTCCCACTACTGATCTTAATCATGGTTAAGAATTATACTTGATGTGGATAAAATTCCACTTTGCTCTTTAAAAATGTATATGTTAAGCCCACATTCATTGTAGTCAAACAAAGTCACAGTAATAGCATAAGTAATCTTTAAGGTCATTTTAGGGAAACAGAAGATTTTTCAGTTGATTTCAAAGAAAATAATAAAAGAAAAGCCATACAAATATTGTGATCGTTTAAACAGGAAATGGAAATTTTTGTTGGGATCAAACTTTCATAGCTAACATTTAGAGCATAGGATTGTGTTTGTTTTTCTGAAATGTACTGTTGCTGACAAACAGAATTATTTCTACTCTGTAATTGTATTCATAGTACATTCTTTGCCAAGTGCTATCTACTAAGATTCTTATTTCCCACCAAAGAGGCAAAGAGATATTGATAGATTTTTCATTTATTTCTTCACTTTTTATTTGCAACTCATTGAAAATAACTATTTTGTAATTTTATGGCGATACAGCAAGATTTGCATTGTAATATTGCATCTTGATTATCTTAGCTAGCCAGAAGTGCAACTTTGTAGATGCTGGATGCTTCCAAAATCATTCAAATTTGAAATCATTTGAATGATTTCAATTATTCAAATCATATCATCTGTTTAAACAGTTCCAAGATAGAACCATTCCTATTTATTACAACATATTTTATTTTTTAAATGTTAGTGAATTAAAAACTATTAACCTGTCAAGAGATTGTGTTGTGTCATAGAGATGTGGTGGTGCAATGGTTACAATCCAGTATTGCAGGCTAATTCTGCTGATTGCCAGTAGTTTGATCCTGACCAGTTCAAGGTTTATTCAGCTTTCCATCCATCCAAGATCAGTAAAATGAGGACCCAGATTGTTGGGGCAATATGCTGACTCTGTAAACTGCTTAGGGAGTGTGGTAAAGCACTGTGAAGCAGTATATAAGTCTAAGTGCTATCAGCCTTTTAAGACAAGCCTTCCAGACAAAAAGCATATCCATAAGTACTATCTGTAATTTTATTGTAAGATTACATTAACAGAATCTTGAATCTTGCCTTTCCAGTGCAAGAAACTAGGGAGGGCCATTTCCTAGACATTTGTCATATGCCCATTCCTTCTGTGAACTTATCTGTCACTTGGCTGACAATTTGTCTAAACATATCTCTTCTTCCTGTCTACTAACGTCATCTCCACGTAGCATTACAAAATTATCATTTCAAACTAGAACTAACTAAACTGTTCATTGATCCTGGTCCATATAAACCCATTTGTCACATACACTGGCTTTAATCCATTTCTGGATCCAATTCAAAATGCTGTATTTGACCTTTAGAGCCCAATTTTTTGTGTGTTTTATTGTAAACTATCAAGAGAACATGCTTACTGGGCACTTTAAAACATTTAAATAAATATGATCATAATATCATTTTTCATTTTAAAAAATGTGATAAAAGAAATTATGAATATTCAAGGGTATCCAAAAATTATTGCAGTGGAACATCTCATCAAATGAAATATCACAATGTTTAATATGATTATTATTGGAAGGAAATGATTAATATAGGTTGCCACGCCTTATCTCCTCTGTTCATCTTTTAGCCCTTATACTCCATTTCACTCTTCAACCAGGAAACAATAAAACGCTCACCAAAATTGCAAAACAAATTATTTCATTTTTTTCCTTATCAACTAGCTAAAATAACACTGTGTTTGTTTTCAGTGAACTTATTTTGAAGCTCTAGCTAATATGCCTTATCTCCAACAGGTAAAAAAAAAATCATTTTCATTATAACTTTGTTATTCAGAAGAACTAGCAAGGAATGCACAAAATCTAAAGTTACATATTTCATGAATAATTAGGACTTAAGTATTGTCTCTTTAAATGCAAATTGAGAAAAAACTGAGTCACAACTTCCTCAGCCAAGTTGCCTTGTCTTAGAGATACACTCAGAGCTTCACTAATGTTTCTACTCAAATATATTGTAATTGGAAGCCATTTATGATATGAAGAAGCAAGATCTTTCAAATTTCAGAGATGGACACATTTCTGCAGCATAAGTATAAGATATCTCTTTTTGGTTGAAAGCTTGAAAAGCACCATCAAGTGGTATTCCCAATACAGAAATACATCCAATTAAAATATCTTTTTGAATATCACACTATTCAAAATCAAGATCAGTGGAAACAGATGAATTTCAAGCTTAGTCTTTTCTGGAAATCTTTCACAATTACCTTTCTACCACATCTTGGCCATTCCAGCAAGTTGAGCTGTCTTTCATCACGAGATCACCATCACAAAGCCTTTCTGTCAAAGATGCATAAAACGTCCTGGATCGTTTCATATAACTGATAAATTCCCTAGAAATTAAATACAGAACATTTTTTAAAAAAAATCATTAACTATACATTAATTTCTTCTTTCCTCTTAATAAAGCAATAATTGAGATTCAAAGATTCCTCAAGTTTATTTGAAAAGTGGATGAAGAAATGGCTGTTTCATACTTCATTAAATTCTAATTCATCACCTGAACTAGAAAAATTAAATCATATTTAAGATGTCAATTGATCAAATTCATGAGCTAAAGGAATGTTGAAGTTGAATAATATATTATTTCTGCCTCCCTTTTTATGTAGATATCAGAGCATGATAGAGAACAAAGTAAAGACGATCCAATGGGTTGCAAAACCAAATTTGTAGCTAAAAATTCTTAAGTTAAGACAGTATTTACATGAAATGTCATCAACTATTCAAATGTCTTAGCACGTCATTTAAATTTTTCATTTTTTAAAAAAGATGGAATTGATCGACAGTATCTTTTATTTGACAGTGTAAACAGATGTCCATCTTGATGTATAGTACCTCTAAATAAATCTGTTTCCTATTCATATGTATGCCATATGTTGGTATGTTGATATTTTTAAAATTGCACAGAGGAAAGTTGGTCCCAAATAATTTCTAACGCACAAATCAAACTCTGAAATGTGTACCCACCTGTTGGATTTGTATTTAACAGTAGTTTCAAATTTAGATTTTAGGGGTCATAGTTTAATAACTTTTGGAGAGCCATACTTTGCCCACACCTGGTAAATGAATAGTAAAAGTATATTATGGTAATGTTAAATTAACCTTTCTCTTCTTAGAATGTATGAAGACCTTTCATTAAAATGAAGAGACAAAGGTATGTTGACTTCTTTGCATTCTTACCGAGACATTTTTTTCAAACTTCTGGATTTGTCATTCTTTGAAGATTTCAGAGGCAGAGAACTGGAGTAGGCCAAGGAGAATAGCCAAAGGGAAAAGAGGGAATTCAGGTAAATAAAGAAAGAAATGAGAAACAAAACGTAATAAATTATTTGAAAGAAAAGATAAACATGCACAGGATTAAATCAGAAAAGAATAACTCCTATTAAAATATTCTTCAACCTATACTTTAAAAATAGTATAGTCCATCCACCAGTTTAATTCTTTTTACACCGTGCCCCCTCTGTTGAGGATTTGGATTGTTTTCTAAATTGTATGGAAATACATTTATTTCTTAAAAAACAAAAATAGATATGACTATAAAATAAAGCATACAATAATGAAAATAAATCTTTTTATTTCTGACATGTCATGTCAAAAACATTATTGTTATATCTGAGAACTACATAAAACATGAATTATGGATGAAAACAAGTACTGTTGATGGGAAAGCAATGACTTTCAGGGACACCAAAAATTAGCTGGTTTATAAGGAAATATAAAACTGGGTATTATGAAATGGGTGCAGTTATACAGATGCACAAATAAATACAAGTGTGCTTGCTTGTTTTAAACAAGCATGAAGTATCACAATGTATTCCCAAGAATTTTATGTCAGTGGTGGAAAACATAGTTCATATGAAGATATTCTCAAATTTAGTCCCTGGAGTCTATAGGTAATCCTGGGACAGACTGTCTTGACAGTACATTTTGTTTTATGTGTTGTGTGTTTTTTACAATGATGTATATTGCTGTATTAAACTTTCAAATTTTGTTTACCATCCAAAGTCACTGTGGCAAGATATACTACCCTATAAATAAAATGAAATAAAGAGAGCAATCAGAATAATGAAAACCTTACAAATTTGAACTAGTAATGTCCAGAACAGTTCAGTTCCCAGAAGTCCCGAAGATAAAGAAGCCCTTCATGTAAACTCAACTTCTGATATCTACATGGACACAACAATTTGAGCAGGAGGTTGGCTGTGTTACAGAACTGCTCGCCAAATATCTTCAGGGGATTTTTTTTAGCTGCAATCTAGTTTATAGCTCTGATAGATGAATCATATACTATCCAAGTACTAATGGGGTCTGACACTGTGTCAATTTTTGAAATTGCCTTGTTTACAGGACTCCTTATGGAAAAAAAATATAAGAGGATGCTTATATTGTGCAAAATATCACTTTTATAATTCACTATTTTTTAAAAAATAATAAAATAAAAGGAAAATACTGAAACCAAAATTCCAATATTGTATTAACTGCTTCTTTCTGTAGTTAAAACTTGAGCATTTAAATAAAATGCACCTCTATACAATTGAATGTCAAGATATCTAAAAGAGGAGCTCAGATATCAGTCAAATAACTGGTGTGGTCAATTATCCTGAGCCAATGTATGAAACATTTTCCTACACAGTCACAGATTTAAGATGTAGCACCATGCATTATAGTGCCTTTGCCCTTAACTTGTGATTTCAAAATGCACTGCCCTTAATATTGAAACTATTAGGTATATTTTAAAAAAAGTATTAACATTGGTTATACATTTCTGCTTTGATGAAAGACAACAACAGCCACTCCTCGCTTCTCCTGAATAGGTATATCATCGCATGCATAGCTATGGTTAATTATAACAGCATGCAACGGAACTTTCTAACATGCCAGCCATGTCCCCGAGAAAAAGTTTTCACAAAAACTAGATATGGGAAATGGAAAATAAGGGCAAACAGCAGTAAAATAAGGAATTACTATTTTGAGAAGACACATTAGCCATAAAGATAGAGGAAAGGAATCCAAGAAGTAAAATGCTTGTTTATCTGAAATTGATTATATCACCATCTTGGAAAATAGTGTAAAAGGCAATCATAAACTTTTTCTCTACCTGTATAATTTTTTAGCTGTCAGTTGGTGATTTACACTACAGCAGTGGAGAAGACAACTAGCCAATTCACTTACGAATCACTCATTTCAGCTGGTTCAGATATCTTAGCAAGTGACAGCAAAAAAAGTTAAGACAACTGAGTCTAAGTCAGTGGTTGAAGTAGGATCTACTATTTAAACAAAGTTAAGAACTTTCAGTAATTCAGAGCTGATGTTAATTTACATTGCTAGCTGCAAATTACTGAACAATCAAAGCTTTTAACCTCTAGGCCATGTTTCTACTATTGATTTTATCTCAGTTCCTTTCATCATCAGTGTATGTTTAGTTAGGATTCTGAAAACTGTAGGCACTCCACTAGTGTAAGCTACAGCCCTTGCTAATTTTCTACTCTATATCCTGATTTTACAACTGATTTTACACATCAAGGTATTTGTTGTCAGATTTTCTATTCCAGGTTTTATCCCCATCCATTACTGAAATCAATGGTTCCTTGACTGAATTGACCTATATTAATTACAAATTTATAATAATATATATCTAACTCAATACTGATTACAGATAGGCCTTCTCCATAGTTAAAATACATTTGTTTAACTTCATTTACTGTTATTAAAAAATAAAACATGATTGCCCTTTCCGGTCTGCTTTTCATCTGTTTGAAAATCAAGAGTCTTTAATACATGATGGAAATGTGGGAGAATCAGAATTACTCTCATCATCATCATTTGGGGAAGTTTTCACCCCAAAATTTATAAGGAAACATTTTTCTTTTCAAATTACCTCCTTTTATTGTTAATAGTTATTGAGTGGGCCATTGTTAGAGGTGGTCTCTCTATTTCCTTTGCTTGAATTATGCTGTCTGGCAAAGATTTCACTTCTTTTTCTTCAGGATGTCCACATACTTTATCTACCTGTAAGAAGACAGGAAGGGGAAAAAAGGGCACCAGATCAAAACTAGCAAACATAATACAAAAGTACAGCATAATAGTGTTGCTTAGAGTTTTGCATTTGAAGGAGAAAAGGTCCTTTGGATCACTCAAGGAGACTCATATAGCACCTGTCAGCAGCCCCTTCAAGAAGCTGCATCTTTTCCAAGTATCATACAGCTGCTTTTCCTAATTGCAGCATAATCCTGGGTTGAAAGAACTGCCAACAGGTGGTATATTCAAAGACAAAAATATGGATGGGTATGAATGAAAAATATGAATCCATATTTTTGTCTTTAAATCCAAAGGTCTGCACAACTGTACATAGTCAGTATTTTTTAGATCAAGGTTGCTCTTGGTTTTTAAGTGGCATAATAAGAACAATATTTTAATCAGTAAGAGAGGCCATGGAAAAAAATGTTATTTAACTAAAAGGTACTTTTTAATTACATCCTTATAGCTTTGACTTTGCACTAGATCATATGTTCTATTACTGGGAAAGATAGTATGAGCCATAGTTTGGGTTTAATGAAACAATCCAAGACAGGAAATTGCTATAGAACTATGATATACTGAGAATATTACTGAAACTCAGCTGAGCTGAAAGTGAAAAACCTTTTCCTCCTCCCTTAATTACATGGAAAGGGAAATCCAATGCAAGATGCACCAATCCTCAGCCTGGTATAAATTAGGAATCCAATTCTAGAATAAATGTTCCAGGATTTTTGCTGCCTTTGACTAGGAAGAATACTTCCTGGTGTAATCATATATTCATGAAGCTTTACATGGCACAAGCAATAGCCCTGCGCAAAGTAGGCATAACCCATTTTATTGTTTAATTTGAGATGGTTCTCAAACTACAAGTGAAGCAACAGAGGTTGACATGCTTCATGTGAAATGTCAAAGCAGCACTGATCCATTCCAGCTGGCTACCTTGCAAATGGATTCTGTGTATGTACTGTGTATATACAGAAGACCAACGAAGAGCCAGAGAAGCTGCTGAGGCAGAGTTCAACTGCTCTGAACCATAAGTAAAAGCACCATGCTGCTTCACTTCATGGATCTATTTCAATGAAATTGAACTACTCCAGTGAAACTTTGAATAAGCGATACAAAGGTCAAATGATTGCAGCTGGTGGAATTCTTTTTCATTGACACAGAATCTTTCCCCTCTGCTGAGTTAAAGTATTATCACCCAACCTTGTGTTGGCAGAAAACTATACAGGCATGAAATTTGCTACCCTGATTGCCAATTTCTTATACTTCCTCTATTCCAAGTCCCTACTGAATGACATTGTCCTGATTATGTATGTATAGTGTGAGATGAGAACAAAATATTAGTTTAATTCTCTATCTTTTATGGCCCTTCCCACAGTTACCCTGAGGCTATGGTAAAAATAAAAAAAGAATTATGGCTAAATATGTGTTTGGCAAGGTTAGTTGCAAATAAGACAAAGAATTGTGCACCATCTAAATTCCTTATAGTCTGTAAATCTGAGAATCTATATTGCAGTGTAAAAGGGCTAATGGAGAATGCTAGCTTCACTCAAAGAAGGAAATGATTTTGCAAAGAGACTGAAGTGGGATATGGGATATGGCATGTAGTGTTTCATATCAAGACTGTGTCTCCAAAATTTTCAGTAGCATAGTGGCAGTTTAGTGGTATGTTGAATAGCTGGTTGAGTTTCAGATAGTAGAAAGAAAAGTGGACACACTTATTTAATAAAATTAAGAATATAGCAAAGAGAGAAGAAAGCAAAGATGAAGAAGCTTTAAGCCAGTTTCCTATACAAGTTAAAAAGTTGGATCAGGTTAGACTCTGGCAAGCTGCCAATGATTTTCAACCCAACCAATTCCACAGAGTTATTGCTGTGGATATAAAAATAAAGAATGCCTTTATATGCATTCCCTTGGAGATAAATGTAATAAATAAATGTATAAGGTCTATGCTGGAGTAATGACTAAGTTGCAACAAAAGCTGTCAGTGACATTATTGCTAAACTTAAGCTGTCATTGCTCTGTAGTATATTGGGTGGGATGTGGAAATGTGATAATGACCCAGACTCATAATGTTGAGTCATTTATACTATTAATAAAAATGCTACTGATAAAAACCAGAACAGTAGCTTCCTATCAAATAACTCTTATGTATGTTGCTATATATACATTGTTGGCTATTTGTGTCATGGCAATGTCGCACTGGCAAGTGTAACTGTAATCTAACATTTTTACTGATGTCTTTGTTCTAAGTCTATATATTTACCTACATTAATGGTTTGCAAATCAGGAGTGGCATAATTGTCCTAATAGAATGCCTCAGATTGCTCTTCCTTGTCTAAACTATGCATTCCATATACAACCTAGTCCATGAACAAATCCACATTATAGTAAAAATCCATTTACAAGATAGCAAGATGGAAAAGATGATGTTCCTTTTATGTAAATAATTGCTATTTTTACTTTCTGATTATTGGTGTATATATACACGGATATTTTGGTGATGTTACACCGTGATAGAAAAACTATTATACATTTGTTTTTGTTTTTGTTTTTTTGAACTATAATAAAAATTTAAAAAATTAAAAAGAAAAAAGAAAAGGATGATGTTCCTAGATTGCATTCCACCATTTCTTTTAGAAACCCAATCTATCTGCAGACCACTGAAAAAGTACTTAAGATTCTTGCAGGCAGCACCGAATTTGCAACTCATCAATGCAGCAAATACTGCAGGGCATAAAACTGAGAATTGCAGCCATGTAGTGAGACTGAAGGCCTCATGACCAGACAATATTTAAAGGATAATGATAGTCTGAACAAGCCTATCTATCAGATCAAGTAGCAATCAGTCTTGACTGTCAGCCTCTGCCTTATTAGTTGTGATATTTGGTTTGGATATTGACAATCAGCAAAGGTTATGCTTAAGGCTATAATTACTGTGGTCCAGTAAATAAAGGAAAAATCTATGGGGAGCCAATCCAATAAATCTCCTTAAAAGCTTTCAAAGTATGAAGTAACTCTTCAGAAAGACAATATGAAGAAATCAATTCCAATGATGTTCATTTTAATTTAATTCTAGTTCTGTCATTTTGAAAATTAATTACATTGAGATAGATGTGTGTTAGCACCCATTCTCTATTTTATGTAGTTGAAATTAAAATTATGAAAATGTTACTGAAAGTAATTTGTCATCTTTTTTTGATACACAAGGAAAGACGTTGATTCTTCAAAACTATGTCATTCAAACATAATCTGGAAAAGCTATTTTATAAAAAAATGTTGGACAACAGTTCTTCCATATATTTTTTTAAAGTATTTTGACAAGACCTTAATACAGGCAGTCTCTGGATTAAGGACACCCAGTTTACGGCCAAGTTGTACTTATGAACGGGTCTGCCTATTACTAAAAATGATGGGTCAGTGGGTGGGCTCCTCAACCTGACAAATCACTGAAGTCTTGCAATGTTTTCTGGAACCAGAGAACCTGTGCAGTTTCAGCGTTTCATGAAAACTTTACATGGCTTCAGTGGTTTGTTGTTCAGGGAAGGAGAACCTTGTCAGCCATTTTTAGTAATAGGTTGCCTGTTCATAAGCACTTTGCAATTTACACACAAATTTGAGTTAAAGACATGGAAAGGAATGGAACTCATTCTTAATAAGGCACTGTTCATACACACAGACAAACCAAAAAATACCAATAGGTAAATTCTAAAATAATGTTCAACATACTGTAGTTCTTAGAGACAGAGAAAGAGAGAAATAAGCCTAGCATTGCACAAATATATCACTCAATGCTGCTCACTTAGTTGCTTTATGGTTCTCCACTGTGGCCATCATCCTCTCCAAAAATAAGTTATGTGTACTTTTAATCACAAACATACCTCTACTGCAGAGGAAAAATGAGTTGAATGAATGAACCTAGCAGTTCATTCTGGCATAGGAAATTGGAAGGGAATATGGAGTATCTAAAATAGGTACTAATAGGGAGTATCTAAAACAGATTTTTTTATTATTATTTAAATGCATCTAACTAGATATTCCTTTAGCTGTACAAGTTTATTTTTATCTGTTTCTAGGTATTCTGGAATCAAATAATTAAACTGGAATCTATTTAACAATTTTTTGGGGAAGAGTATCTGTTGCATTAACTAGAACTCCTATATTATTCTCTAAAAATGCTGAGCTTTATTATTTATTTATTTATTTATTTATTTATTTGTTGAGTAAAGAAGCATTTTCAACACACAGATTGTTTCAGTTGACGGTGGGGATCGAATAATACACACACACATACTAGGAATGGAGTTAGGTGGCTCTTAAGGTTATGTACTAAATTCACCCATTTCAGAAACATTTCAATAAAGCTTATACAGTACATTAACAGAAACTGGACTGTCCTTTCTTGGTAATTGGTGATTCCGAAACAAGTATGTAAAGCAAATTCATAGAAACTTTCCTTCTGCCTTTATAACGCAAAACATTTTTTTGTCTGGCAATAGAAGACTGGCATAGCTTTTCATTACCAATTAGATCCATAAACTTCCAGACAAGGAATTAGGATTCATAACTTGTTCAAGAAGCAGGCAGCCAGGCTATAATATTTTGAACTATGGCAATCAATTTTTGTTTGTTATAAGATAATCAAAGTGATAGTTGTAAAAAAAAAAAAGCACAAAAACTACTTTAATCTTACCCTGAAATTGAATGTATTATAGAAGAAATGATACTTTGAGCTACAATTTTTTTTAATGCCAATATTAGTATCACAAACTTTTGTATGTAATTGGTCTTCTAATTGTGTGAGCTTTAAACTAAATGTAAATAAGCTATTTTAAAAATCTGTTATCAACATATAACCTATCACACAGTATGATGTTTTCTGGATAGAATAAAGATTATTAAGGAGACTATGAAAACAACTGAGTAATTATTGTTCATACAGTGTTTTAACTCATCCTTTTCTGGCAATATTAACTTTCATATTAACA